CTATCCCACGAGTTTCGCGAACGTTTCCAGCGTGTCTATAATCCGCGGTTGAATGTAGCATGTGGTCGATATGGAAGCATTAATAATGCCGGTTGTTGCGGCCGGCCAGATGAATACAGTTACTACTAGTCGTGGCGAAACTGCTGCACGCAACCGACTAGCCATTCAGACTTCAGTTCTCGGGTTGTTTTGCGTTTCAAAATGTATCGAGTTTACTTTGTCAGCGGAAAAACGGCAGGGTGAGCGCGCGGAGTAACGAACTGGACTTCGCGAACGTTTCTCTGCTTTCATTGCAAACATTTATTCGTATCGGCATTATTTATACGATCCGTTCTGACAAAAGTTAAAGCACGGACTGACGATACCCGCGCTGCTGAAGCTCAGATCTTATCGTTTACAATTCGTTTGGAATCACATATTCTCGTATTTCCATTTCCGGCTGTATATCTTAGAATTAAATAGCGTGAACGTTATCTATTACGGTATGCTATTTTCTTTATAGTAATTTTTGCAAGTTTGTTCATATTTTTGTTACATCGGTTTGCATCGCTCAGAATCTTGGATAGAAGCTTTTTTAACGATATGAATTAGTTATGTATCTATTTATTTGATTAGCAGTAACGTATAATGCGCCAATTTCTATTTACATTTCCATATTGTCTCGTTTGTAACAATGTGCCAATACTGATTACATATATTTATGCTAATATATTTACGCGTATTGGATGCATATTGCCGCGAAATTCTAATTTAACTAAAGCATAGTGGCGCATTGGCGGTATTGATTTTGAAATACAATTTATACCGTACAGTTCACTCTATTGTCGGAAACGATGCCGCATACTGTCTACTATATCAAAATGTAGCTTTGTCAGGCTACATTTAATTTCATTACAAATTGATCATTAAGGTCATATGCGCGGTATAGAAGTTATTCATGGTATTGTAATCATGAATTTATAGAAAATGTATTGTAATATTTCCGAGATTCCGGTTTGATTGAACAAACTGCGTCAATATTAAAGGATTGAAATTAATTAAAACATATTAACATTTGTTAAACTAAATTTCCGATAGTTGAACGTAAAAAAAATATTTTACACTTAAAATATCACATGGTTTACACAATTTAACAAATATATAATAATTATAAAAGATAATCTAAAAATTACCAAAATTACTCTTGGATATTTTTTCAAATTATTTTGCCGCGATTTTAAATACAAAATTACCAAATAGATAAAAATTGTCATATTTTTTAAATTACCTTTAGTTTGAATAAATTATTTTTTGTTATATATTTCCTATTCAATTTATAGTAATTTGATTTGTTTTTAGAAATTAGTTTATTAAGAAAGTAACTTATCGATTATTTTAAATATTCCTGCCATTATCACGTATATTTTCAACTCGAAAATCTTGAAGTTCTTGAGACAGTAGACATTCTTTATGTAGATTTATTAATTTATGTAGGTTAAAATGATTATAATTATGAATTCAGATGACGTAAAATATTTTTATCGAAATCTATACAGGCATACGAGAATAATTGATATAATAAATGAGATCATATCATGTTATATAAGAATATATTTTGTAAGTACTATAATGTTAGACAGCTGAATAGTAAGCTTCATTTAGCATTCTTATTTGCGTTGAAATGTCTGTTGCGGGTCTGCATTTCCATTTATCGAGAGGAAAATCGAATTTTCAGATAGAGAGAAAAAGGGCGTCCCGTCGCCGCTACTCCCGCGTTGTCCTTTCATCGTCGAGAATTTAATCGAAACTCGATCAGTTCTACTTTGCGACGTACCGTTTCGCAAAATATTCCCAGGAATAATGGCGCTATTCGATACTCGATGGAAAGTAGTGGTGGAGAACGAATAACAGTAGCGCTATGTTCTGTATGCCTGATCAAAATTGATTGCTATCACTTGACTTTCCGCGCGAATCAATGAAATATACGTCGACGTAATTGATGTTTACAAATTGAATGGTTTTAAGTTAATACAAAAATTAATTTAAAATTGTTGAATTATTATTATTATATTGCCATTAATTGCATTTTTTTATTTTTACCAGTTAATTCTTGGATAATATTCATGAAACTTTAATGTCCTAAATATTTCAAATTATTACGATCTCTCAGCGTTGCTGAGATTATGACAAATATAATGATGATAATCTGCACGCTTTTCGAAAATTTACGGTCTTATCATGGCAATCTGTTTGACGAGATCACAGTTTGCGGTTTCATTTGTGAGGCAAATTGAACGATCTTGATATTTCTGCATTTTTGCACTTACGATCCACTTTCACAAGCACAGAAATTCCAAGTGGCTTTATAGAACAGGCGTACTGTGTAATAAAGCCAATAAAGCAACATTGATTGACTGCGACATGATTAATTATGATGAATGAGTCATCCGAGCAATAGTGTGATTCCATTCCATTACAGACTTTGGTGATATTTTGTGGGATGTGAAAGAAAGAATATAATCCATCATAATCGCCTGGATAATTATTTGACGATTTTTAATTTTGTGACAATTCTAAAATATATAGAAAGTCTTTTCTAAAATTTCTCTCTTTTACAATGAGATATACATATACATATCATTATAAAAGAGAGAAATTTCAAAGAAATTACTTTCTATTTCAGAATTTACTATATATATATATTTACTATATATATATATATATTATATATATATAGCAAATAATATTTTTATACATATATTATTTCGAATATATAATTCTATTATATTCTATATAGAATATAAAATTTATCTGCATTTACCCACATAAATATAAATTAATCTTTGTTATGAATATACATATTTCAATAAATTTTGCGGGTATGCATACAACTTTATGAATATTTTTCTATAGTTTTTAAGCTTTGAGAGAAATTTTATAATTCTTCCGTGTAAATTATGCCTGCGTCCCTCCACTTTGATGCCTCGAAAGCTTTGAGATCTGTTGAAGCCACTGATGAAATAAACGTGTCATGCAAATGCGTCGCATATATACTATCGCGGTTTTTAGAACATTTCGGCACGTAGACCTAAATATTTCACGCTTCGCTCGCGGTTAGGTAATCTTGAATATCGATATTCACCGCGTTCGGGCCTCGGTATATCTTTCATAGTGTGAATATTCATGCTTCCACATATGTATACGTAACGTCTGTAACGGCGTCAATTTATAGATCTTGCTGCACAGGATTCAATATACAGAGCGCGAAATAGCTACGTATCCTTCACTTTCATTGTAAATATCGCAACCATCTGTATAATCGTGACAACCGCAAAGAAAAATTAAATGACAGTAAAAAAACCACGCCAGTCAATAGAATGCAATTTCATAAATCTTTGCCTTTCTTCTATTAAGTTTTTTTTCAAACTTACTGATTCATCAGAACACAAAACTTAAACGGAACTTATTTTTAATAAAAACTATTGCATCTAGAAAGATTAAAAATTCAGATCGTGCGGGAAATAATGTAGAATATGATAAATCTTATTTAAAGAATAATGAATAAAGATAAATTCACTTTTTGGTAAATATAAAATGCTTTTCAATTTTGTATACATCTAAAATATTAAAAAGAACTTTTAATACTTTTAATTCTTAATATTTCAATTACTCTTCTACCTTTATCTGATGTGTATGAATTTTTTGAATTAATAGTCCTATTTATATAATCGTCTTTGTCTTTTCGAAATGAAAAAATTTCTCGAATCATTATGTACCGATTTTTTTCTGGATACGACGCTAATATCCTAATAATTCGCATTTCCCCTATCCCATATAGATTACTCACAATTTTAGCGTCGTTCTTTTCCTTCGTTCGCTACGTATGCCGACACCATTTCCGTGCCATTATCGCGCCCGTTTTCACAGCGAGGCTCTCTTTTCGCTTTTTCCAGTATCCGTAAGTACCCTCTTCCTTCCCCCCATACCCGTTTCTCTAACCCGTAGGTTGGCATGGTTTTTCCGCGCTTATCTACGCGCACTTATTTGCCGGGGCTATCTGGAAATTTAACGCCTGCGCCCTCCCCAGAAAGATCACCGCCATTCCGACATCCACCCACCGTGCTCGTTCGAAACTATCTCACACGTTCCCTGACCTCTCCGCGTACACATACAGACAAATACACGTACACTATTCACGCACTCGTCGCTTTTCCGACAGTAGAAAATTCTGACCGGACATTATCCTAGCGCACCTCTCACTCGTGGCTCGTAGACCTTGTTACCCCATGTTGCAGGTTGTACGAGTGTTGGCTATATTGTAGGTTACGTAGAATTCTATTACGGGGAAATTTCCGCGAAATTTGTTTGCATTTGTAACATAGAATCACTTTATTCTTTTATTTTTTTGAAGCGATGGAGTGTAAGTTGCCAATTAATTAAACTCTTACAGATTTTTAAATAATAATGTTCTTTTCTGAATAAGATAAAATACTTCTAGATAAAGCATTGATTTTCAATATATAAAACTGATAATTGATTGGATGTTTAGTGATTAAAGATTAGAATATATTAGTTTCTTTTTTTGTAAAAATAAAGAATTTAATTTTTGCTACACACGTTAATTTTTGCAAGTGGCAATGTTGACGAGAGCTAAAATAATTTTCTCTCGCAAATAGTACAAAGTGAAGAATCTCGAGAGGGATCACTTTGTTTCACGCGTGTTTTTCGCGACAGTGATCTCGTTTGGCTGTGACAATTTTTGTCTTTGCAACACTTCCATACGTTCCACTGTCGTCATGCCGCAGCATCATCCGCGCAAAAAAGAGAGCCTTAAGTCTAAAGTACAGACGCTGCCTCGGAACGTGTTTTAAAGCTTACAGATTAGCTCGACGAAAATCATTTAGAACTCGCTGTGCGCGTCCGATTATATCTCTCTTCGGATGATACCTCTCCTTTGTCTTCCTTCCGTCGACATGCTGGTCCAGGGAAGAAAGGGCCGTCACGTGTTATAGAGCGCACTACTAGCAGTCGTCCTGAGTCGAGGACGATTGTAGAAGTGCTGCCACTCGTTCCGAAAAATCGCCTGAAGCTGCACCCGAACACTGAAAATAAAGACATCGCTATGTTGATATAGCTTCAAAATTTTTAAACTTAGTGAAAGAACAGTCTAGGGTTAGAGCTTAGACAAGGAGTTAGCTTTATTATTATTATATATAGTAGTAAGAGAATATAATGAATGATAAACATTTTTACTGAGTTAACCAAAATTATTTCCTAAATGTTACTAAAACTGATCCAGTTCCAATCATTTCTTAAAGTGCTCTGATATTTAAAGATGCACTTTTTTATATACAATATAACGATAAAAGAATTAAAAGATATTTTAATATTTCTAAGAATTTAGCAATGTGAAAATTTATTAATAGTAAATATGTCTTAATTAATTTTTTTCTTCTTTTCATGTTAGACAACAAGAAACATTATTCAGATAACGCGTTTATAGAAGTAAACTTAAGTAGTACATATGTTTCTCACATTTATCTCATCTTTTTCTCTTTTCTATTTTCGCTTTTTGCTACAATATCTGTTAGACAGGTTCGCTTGATAACTGTGTCTCTTCTTTTCCTATCTTTCGTTTATCACATTGGACAAGTTCGTAACAATTATTGACATTGTAATTCGTATTATACATAAAAGGTGGAAAACTTTTTTGCGTATTTTTAACTTCTGTAATGTAATTGGAAATATTTTAATAATATTTTTAACTATAATTACTTTCTTTAATATTTAAGTTATTATATATTTTATCATGATATATTTTTTTATAATATTTTTATTATATTTTTCTCGATACATTATCTCCTAATTATTTATTCAAAATTATTATAATAGATAGACACCGAAAAATTTTTAATATTATAGAAAATACACGAAATTTTGTTTTGTTATCACATTTGACTGCTTATTATGTTGACAGGCGAAAAAATAAACAATGGTAGTGATGAGATAAAAAGTTACAAAATATTCGACACTTTGGCGAGATAGAAATTCAAGAGATTGCACGTGATTAAGTTGCAGCTAGGGCGCGTTCGCCACATTTCATCTCCCATGGGAAGTGACAGCTTGAAATTTTAATGTTGACTGAAGCCGGAGGTGACGATGAGATCAAGTCGATTCACTCCAATTCTTTTTAGACGATAATGTTTATTTCGGGAATATATTATCTCTTGTAGAGATTAATTATTAAATGCATGCATTTGACTTCTATACAATATAAGCAAATTAAATATTAAATTAATACATATATAATTAATAATAAAAAGATAAACACAAATGGTTTTTCTATTTTTTAATACAAATAACGTGTAGGATGCACACACATTCTGCGTATAATATTTAATATACATATACATTGAAAAAAATTTTTGGTTGAAAATAAAGCAGTAAATTTGATCATATTAATCAGAATCCTGGATATCATAATTGAACATCTGATTATCTTGACTAGAATTCTTATTGATATGATGAGAATCTGCTGATTCGTCCATTTTAAATCAGAAATTCTTAGTGTAGGTAATATTCATGTGATTTACTTTAATGTTTTGATTTGAATTTAATTATTTTAATTTACTGTTTGATTTAATATAGATTTGATTGTCTATTAAACAAAAGAAGAAATATTCATATAACATACAATTATAGTATAATATAGACATATATTATAATTAATCATACTTATTATTAGATTAAAAATATATACTACAAAATAAATGTAAACTACATATGTTTAAATTAAAAAATCTTATGAGATTAGTATTAAAGGACCTATATAGCATTAAAAAGATTAAGAGTGTTGGTATTTGCGATCTCTCTCTTTTCTTCTTGTCTGTCTTTCTACCTGTCTATCCATCTGTCTATCTGTCCTGCTTTCAGTGTAGCGGTGTGTCGTCAATGAAAACTTGAAAAGTTTTCGCTCTCCTTTGCGAGATCGCTGAAAGCGCAGACGATGTTGATTTCCCAACGGGGTGTCGCCCGTCTATAAATCTACACCCAGGGTTTGTTTAGTCGGTCTGTGTGCGCCGCGAGCGGTGCTCGCCGCCGTGTATTTTTGAGTGACACGGGAGGATATCCCACCGAGTGGAAGTTTTGCGTCGTTGAGCTTAAACGCGGGCTACGCTTACGATCGAGAAATGGGGAAACAGCGGTCGTTTATTCGGTTCACGGGTCGTTTCTCGCGACGCGACAACCATTTTTACGACGCGGGGAACACCTCGGCAATTATACGACGCACCGCGGTATTTATTTCAGGGTCGTGTCGTGGACTTTAAAATTACGTTCGCGTGCGGTTTTTCACCTACCATTGTCCATTTTTCTCACGTGGATAGGAAGCCGCGCGAAAAGAAATAATAAATTGTTCTTTATTTTAATATCTTGCTGTTGAGTCTATATGCAAAAAGATATTAATAAGCTTTCCGCGTGAAGATATCTGTAACGTTATATATATATATACAGCGCGAGAAAAATATAAATATAACTTGTACCTAGGAATTAATTTATGTAACTATACGTACTTTTATAAGTAGTCTTAGCTGAGTTTTTTAATTTAAAAGTTTTGAGAATATATTTTATATTTAAAAATGATTATAGAGGGAAGAGTCGCCTATATCGTGCCCCCTAATGTTTAAACAAAATTGTAACAAAAGTACTAAAGACATTAGAATTATTTTTGTACTTACATTACATTTTGGTTCATTGGCAATAAAACAAAACGATACTTTTGCGAAAATAAACATTAAATTATTGTTTAAATTAAATTTAAAGAAAAAAGTAGCTTTCGGTACGATTTGGAAATCGGGTCGTTAAATTGTACCACTTGGTTTTCCTAAATCGTACTTCTAACCTAGCAAACAAGCTGACATTGCTTATTATCATTTTGATATTAAAATAACATCTTTAACGTCAATATGACAGTAAATAACGTCAGTTTGTGCATTAGACTCTGTATACACAGGCTACATTCCGTTATTCATTGTGTTCTATAACCTATGATTTGGAACTAAGTGTGGAAAAATGAAAAAAAATTGCGCATATTTGTACCTGTAATACTGTTGAAAGCCAGTAAAAATCAGAATATTAAAAAAAATCTTGTTCTTCGGAGTCATCATATTCTTCAGAATTATAAGTTTTTTTTAAATAATTATTCGCATATCCGATGCTAATAGATATCTAACATATAAGCCGTAAAGAGATTATGGGTCTGAGCACAGAATTGCCGTACCACATTAAAACAGACTTAAGTTATAGACATAAGCAACGCACAAGCTTTGGCTTGTTAATAATGGACATCGCTATATCTTTCAATAGCGTGCTACCACGTGCTATATAAGCAAAAGTAAGTAATCTAATCGTTTGTAAGCAAGTAAAAAATAATCTTGTTAATTGTCCTGAAAGTCTTAATGTGTTACGGCAATCCTGTGCTCAGATCCTATGGGAGCTCGCGTTACTTGCGAAAATCGTACCGGTACAATATAAAGCGACAAGTACGATTTACTCAACTTTCTCTATTTTTACAAATTTGTCAATAGCAACATAACTTACAAATATTTTACTAATTTGATGCTATACTCGAAAAGAGTTTAAATATCAATTATAACTTTGAAGGACACTATAATTCAATTATCGACCTTGTACCGATAACACCTTAGGTAAATTGTGTCAAAATTAGATCAGACACCGAACAAAGTCAATTTTGAGTGTCACTCAAACAGACGATTCGAAGACAAAATAAAAATAATACTTCTTAATCCATATTACCAGCATCACATCAGTGTCATTATCTTTAAAAAGAAATGTATCGTTTAGAAAATACACAATGGAGGTATGATTTAACCGTCGGTACGACTTAGCCAACTCCACCCTGTATAAGTTTTAGAATAACGATTAAATTGCAAGTAGTTACGTCAAAATTATTAATATAAATTAAATTTGCGGAAAAATAAGTTTAATAATTAGGATTATTATTAATTATTTATCAATTATTATTAACAACGGCTGAGGTAACAGAGATCGCAGTTGGTGCTAAAATTTTTAAGAAACTCGACAGCAAGACATGGCAGCTGACTCGTTGTCCTGAAAATATACGAGAACTTGCGAAGTGTAAATTCCACAGGAATTTGTGGGGAACACTGTGGTCTCGGTGCTTAAACAAATATCCTTAGGGATCCTTTCGACTAACGAGCGCGGTTTTCTCGCAACAGACAAAAGTGATAACTCGAAGGATTCAGTATAATAGCGAGAGGTAGATCCGTGTGATTTGTAAAGCCTATTTTCGATATAAAGTTACGTAAAAGGAGATTTTGTGAATTATGAATTTATCCTATTCCCGTGCACACAGAGAGTTTTTCACTTTGTCCAGTAAAGCTCAAAAAGCTGGAAGTCCGATCTGCCAGCTTGCGGGGAGATTCTCATCCCTTCAGGCTATTCTCCTTTTCTACCCTTCCACTCTAGTCTTTTTATGCTGCTTTGCCACGTTTTCTCGCAATTTCTCGGTGTAGATTCTTTCTCCTTTTTCAGGATCCCTCTCCCCCCGGTCTTCTTTCCTCTCAATCTCTCGTTTCACTTCTCTGCCGACTCTCGCTTATCTTTCTTTTTCCTTATTTAACCTCAACGAGATAAACTAGAGCTCGGCGGGATGACCGCCGTGCGAAATATCATTGGTCTCGCGTAAGTATGATATTACGAAGGCAATGGAAATAAAAAGAAAATAGCTAGGAAATTTTCCGGTATCATCAGGAAGCATACTATGGAAATTTACGGTTCTTCTCTCATAATGAACCTTCCTTCCACTCAACTGACGGTTCGATAAATATCGTTGAAAATACACGATATGTGTAGAAAATCGAGTAGAAAAATATTTCTTAACAATATTATTTAGGAGAAAAAAGATTTATTTACGAAAGAAATAACGATAATAAAGAGACGTTTTGTATAGCATATAATTATAGATAATACACGATTGTGGATAACAGAGAAAATTTACATAGCAGGAAACACACACACACACACACACACTACGAGCGACGAGTTAGAGCCACACATTCGT